CAGTTGTCTTCCAATACACTTGTGCCCTGCCCACCACACTGTCTTTCTGTTCTCTCTGGTCCAAATGGATTCTTCACTATATCCTTCTTTTCTGCAGGTTCCTCCCAGGTGCCCAGTCCATCTTCTCACCCCTACATCTCTGGTGTTCTAATACCACCTACAAAGTTTTCAAAACTTTCTTTACACCCTGACAGAGGGCATGAGGGAAGCAAGCTGTTTCTGAGCTTACACATGTGCTGACTGACAAGTCATTGCATGTTTTTTGATTGTCCAGCCAGTAAACTGAAATAAAGTAGATAACTGTTGGTTCACAATTTGGTCTTTCTCTGATTTGTGGCAATAATCAAGTGTTTCATTTTGCTAGGCACCAGTTTGCACAAAAATTACAGGGGCTTTATGTCATTCTTTCAAGCTTGTCAATGTTTTTTCCGTAGCGGTCCGTGTACCAACTTAGGGGTGGGGTGGGTAGTATTTTTCAGTTAAGATCAAGAGGTTTCACTAAACTGCTGAGAGACGTGCAATGCTTTGAAAGTCATCTTAAGGGTTTTCTTCTTCTGATTCATCTTGGTAGGCCTAAGTCTGCTTCTCTTGGTTCATGAGATTGTAAAGAGAGGAGGAAAAAACCCTACACTTTTCTGTTTTTACGGGAACAAATAGGTGCCAGGGAACATAGAAGCTGCAGAGCCCTCCAGAGTATCTTCAGCTTGTGCAGGGGCAGGAGTCATTGGGTAGAAGAGTACTACCCCCAGCCCCAGTGCCAGGGGGAGGCAGAGGTTGGCTTTTGAAGTGCTAAGCTGCAAAGATTCAGGCAGCTTAGAAAGGAGCTGAATGTCCTGATGAGAAGCAGTGTTTCAGAAAACTGGCTTCTAACATGCCGTATCTGGTCAACTACCGTTGATCAAACATTCTACTGAGTTCTGGTTCCACAAGTGCTACCCCAGAAAAAAAATAAAAATAGGGATGCATTAGTATTAAGAAAGGAATTTTGATTGGCTGGTTTTGGTGGGGTTTTTTTGATGGAGTTCTTAATTTGTTCTGCATTACTCTAGGAGAGTTTTCTGCCTCAGACAGCTCCCTGACAGATATCCAGGAGCAAAGACGGCAGCCCATGCCAGACCCTGGTCTTATGCCATTGCCTGATTCTGCCTCTGATCTGGACTGGTCAAACTTGGTAGATGCTGCCAAAGCCTTTGAAGGTAAGTTTTCAGAAGGTAATACTGAGAAAGCTGGTCTTTGTGCATGCTTCATTAAGGAGGGGGGGGGTTGGTTTTCTTTTTTTAATTCTGACTTTTGCTTTTGTTGTTGTTACTGTTTCTACTTAGTCTGAAGCTTAAGCTCATTTAAAATACCAACTCAAGTCTTAACAGCGTAAAAACTTTGTATGTAATACGCAGATACCATTTCTTCATACTGGAATCCCTCTGTGCTACAGTTTTGCCAAATCTCTGTGAAACTGGCTACTTTTCAGTTCATGCAGAGCAGTTGCAGACATCACAGCTAGGGTGGAAAGACATCTGGCACGAAAGTGCAAACGTGAAGTCAAATAGCAGGGGAAAAGCATATGAGCACACTAATTGCTTGCTTACTGCACTAGCAAGAAGTTTCTGTAGTGCAGCTGAAGTGCGCTGCCAAGGTAATTTGGGGAATATGCCTTGTTGGTATATACTTTCACATTGCCATTCTTCCCTTTGCATTCTCTGAATACATAGACTTGCACATAAGTGTCATTTCATCCTATGGCACTTTCCATTTCCATAACACTTAGTAAACTGAAGAGAACTGTAAGCTGCCTAGATGTGTTTGAATTTAAAATTAAATACACTTCAGCCCAAAGGGAGTTTACATTACAGTTACTGTAATCTGATGGAAAAGTCTTCTAGGTGCACTAAACAGAAGTGCCTTTTCCTAATCTCTGCATAAATGCTGTCCCACCTTCATGAAAGTGTTTTCACTGATCCTGGATCTTTTAGACGTTATTTTGCGTGGTTGGATAAGGCTGTGAAGTAATTTGCTTTCTTGGCTGTTCTCTGGTAGTAGCTGTATACATGATTCAGACAGTGCATGTCTAAGCTGGTGTTCAAGATGTACATGTGTGCTCTGCTCTATTGCCGTAGGAGTTGTAGGATCAGCATGGCTCATATTTCTGTTTTGCAGTCTTGGGAAAGAGTATTCAAAGTAAGCCTTATTCCTCAAGAGGAGATGAATTTGTAGTGATGTTTTTTTCACCACCACGTAGGGATGAAGTCCAGGTTTTAATGCATTTCACTGTGGTCCACAATTTCTGTTTAAAAGATCCCTGTTATTTGGTTAGATTTATTGGACTGTCCTCATTAACCTGAATCCCTCACTTTTGCAGGCCCCAAATTCACTTGGGTTTCTGTTTAGTGTGGTGAAGGTAACAAAATGACAGCTTAGATGAAGAAAAGCCTGGGGTAATGTGTCAGGCTGGCACCTTCATCTCACCACTGTAAAAATGTATTCAGATTTGACTTGGAGAGGGAACAGCTGTCAGATGTCAGTATAATCCCAGTCTCTGCCAGGTGCCAGTAGGGATTGACAAGAACCAAGCACCTTAAATACTGACTTGTGATCCTGGACACCTCTGTTCCACATCGTTGGTTGGTGTCTTCAGCACAAGCCCCCAACATTACAAATAGTGCTATCTGCAACCAGCTGAAACAAAAGCTGCCTGGATCCCCGAGCTACACCAACTTTCACTATTTTCATTCAAAGGAAGAAAAGAGAGGAGCAGGAAGAATTCCATCAAATACTGAGGCATGTTAATTTTAGCCTTGTTGAAAGCACAGAAGATTTACCAAGCAGAAAAAGGTGATACTGTTCTGTTTCCAGGGAGAGACCAGCAGCTGCTGAGGGAGAGTTTATTAAACTAAAAAGTGTTTATGTTACCGTTTGTGCTAGGAAACTCCAGAGGTAGAGGCAGTTGGTAGTTTACAGTCACAACACATGTGATAGTGATTTAGAGATGTGTTAAAACGTCTAAGCAGTTACAGGACAAAAAGTATAGACACAAGGCAGCAAAGAGGTTTCATGTTTCAATCTGAAAATGTTTTCTAAGGCATAAGGAAAAAACCTTGGGTACTGAAAAATTACATTGGTCATTTTACTTTCCACATGTAAATTGTGCACAGTGAGCTTTTCTTTCCTCAAGATAAAGGGATTCTTTGTGGAGCGAAGGAAGCTAAATGTAGTTACTGAATTATTAAATAGTGTCATGCAGTTGTACCCAGGAAGTTCTGCACAGCTCTTGTTGCTCCAGCTTGGCTTCTTGCCTCTCTTGGAACTGGCCTTGGGTGGACACTGCAAGTGCTGCCGGGGTATCGCTGCTTAGCCTGAGGGGGATGCATGATCTGTGTGAGCGTGCAGTGCTGTGCCGGAGCTCTACTGGCTTATTGAATCCCATACAGTGGAGAACCCGGTGCAAACACTTGCAATGTGTTTGCTTCCGTCAAGTGAATATTGGTATGTCATATCATCATCTATCTTGCTGAAGACAGACTTCTTAGATTGCTTTGAGATCCTGCAGCATAGCTGTTGCGCTGTGCATGAACAGATACTCATGACTGCTGCCGTTGTTTTTCTCTGTATGTTTGGCTTCTCAGTTCAGCGAGCTTCGTTCTTTGCTGCTGCTGATGAAAATCACAGACCTGTGAGCGCTGCCTCCAGTAGTGATCAGGCTGAAGACCAGCTTACTGCACAGATAAAGCCTTATACAGGGTAAGTAAATACACCAGATATGCAGACTTCCTCAGCTACAAACCGAGG